CCACACACACACACACACACACACATGCACCGCCTCTGGGCTGTCATTCAGAACATACACAGACAGCCAGAAACAAGGGGTTGGCGTCAGCTCTACCGGGCCTGCAAGTCATGTCAAGCCCTCCCTGAAATACACACACACACACACACACACACACACATACACATACACACACACACATTTACACACTTATCTTCCATCTTTATAGTGTGCTGCACCCTCCACTTAGCGCTGCTGTAAAGGTCTTCCTCCGCTCGTACCAGAGTGCTATCTTCAAAGAGGGCTGTGCACGCACACGGCAACACACACATGATATCCATGCAGACTTCTAAGCGGACTTAATCATTTCACATTTAGCTTCAAAGAGACTGTTTAAACACATACTTGCTCTCTGTCTGAAAGCAGCACAGCGGGGGTCTCGTCCTCTCTTGACAGTCTTTTTGGTTCGTCTCAATTCAGAATCTTTGAGTTCTGTTTGGTTTTTAGCTGCTCATTAATAGCGCCGATGCTTTGGAACGCCACGTCTTCAGATACTGTCCCGTTTCCTTTTCACAGGCATTCTACCGTCCGATCAATCGACTTGTTTTCTCGTTTTCAGCTTCTTGTGAAACTCGAGCCGAGGCAATTAATGGAGTCGCAGTGCAGCTCGGAGTTCACTTTCAGGTCAAGGCTTTGCTCACGACTCCCCCCGAAAAGGATGTCGGATCCCACCGCGCCTCGTTTTCTGTCCTCAGGGGTTCTTTGTCTTGACCTTTGAACTCTACTGGGTCATACAGTTCTGCAGGCTGACCGGAGGTTTACGTGTCTCCTCCTTTAATGCATCTGTAATCTGATGTCACCTGTGCATGTGGAGAGGAGGAAAGGGAGGATAACTAATTTTGGGGGCACAAGGACACAGTGCTATAGATTAATGGAGGCATGAGCAGTCTAAAGGAATGAAAGCCAATTCTCGTTGTCACCAGTAGAAATATTCTGGCCACTCACGTTCAGTCTTAAAAGCGTATGTAATTACAGACAGTGGCGGTGTCCTGTTCGGAACAAAGACCTGCAGACAGAGCAGTAAATGCCGAGAATTTTAACTGGTCCACGTATAGTGTTCGTGCTCTTAGCAACACTAACAGCATTTCACTGTAAATTATCAGGTTAACCTCAGTTCCAGACACTGAGTCTTTCTTGGCATGTTTGGTCTTTGAATTAAAAAAATAACTTAATGCTGTCATTCAGCATCTTTAACATAGTTATTTTTTTCTTTTAGTCAATTATGTCTAAAACATCTAACAACCATACAAATAAAATTCAGCATGAAACGCTGTTTTGGTGTCATTTGTAGAAATAAAAACTCTGTTATTTCCAATTAAAACTTCATTTCTTGAAAATGTCTATGACTCGTTGGATTTCTTAATTTCCAAACATTAACGTTTGATGCTGAAAAAAAATACATCTGAATGTATCACGTGGAAATGTGAAGAACATATTTCAACACCAATCAAGTAAAAGTCATTAAGAAGATGGGTGGAAAAAGCAAGATTGTTGTTTTTCTTGGAGGGTTTAAAGCTGTGATCTGTTGCTGTTCCAGCCACTTATTGGATGTTTTGTCTTGCTGCTACTATGACAACTATGGATCATGGATAATTGCTAAAAAAAATATATATTTCAGTAACATTTCACCCCTAGAGTTTGGGCTGGCACCATAACACAGGCCCACTGCACACATGATGACAGGCGCACAAAAACTTTGAAGTTGAGACTTATAGTTTGCCTCACTTACAATTACCGTTCCAGACAATTGACTGAAAATGCTCTGGCACTCTGTCATATTTGCATCCTTGTGACACACCTGCTTTCACAGAAATCCAGTCAGATGAACCAAGGGATCTTCTCATGTGATTTATTAAAGGCAGTAACACCTGCCAGTCAAATCATTCTGACAATGGTCTATTTCTAACAGGCAAAATGTGGCGTGACGAAAAATGTGTTTCTGTTTTTGTGGGAAAAAGTTTCCACCTTCTTTATTCAGTTTTTACTGCACAACACGTGAGCCAAAATACTGCCTCAAATTTAAAGTGACGCTAACATTTCTTTTGCTCAGTGGGGGGGAATTTAAAAGCTCATAAAATAGAGTGCCAGACGAGTCAGTAAGTCATGCTTTGTTGTCATATCTGGGAATATTTCGGCATGTGGGGTCTATGTGTCACTGCTGCCTTACTCACAGTCATTTGGTGATTTTCAATAATATCTTCTCGGATTAGCTGCTCAGGACTCATAACTTACTTAGAAGATTTAACATTTGATAAGTTTTCTTTTAAAATCTTTTTTAAACAGTTCTATAAAAAAAAAATCACCTAATAAGTTTATCATAACACAAACGGAAATTTTAAGATTTATGTACGGTGTAGAGCTAATTTAAGCTCGATAGTACAACAAGGATATTATAATGAAATGGTTTTTTTCAAAGCTTTTCTTTGATTTGAAAAAATGGGAGGTCTTATAAGATGACATATGACAGTAAGACATTTCTAATCTTTACCTTGTCACCAAATTTGCGTAATACTTTGTTTGAAGTGCTCCAATTTAGTATTTATCGACTGGGTGCAAATATTTAACATTTGTTTTAAAGCACATTGTAGCCGGTAGATTCTTTATATATATGTAGAATCAAAAGTACTCCAAAATAAATATTCCAATAAGTCTATGACTAAAAAAAAAAAGGCAACAAAACTTCAAGTGGCATCTTAAAGAAGGCGATGTAGTCACAAAGCTTTATGTCAACATGCAGACACAGCATGGGGGAAAAAATCCCCTTGTTAAAGTTTTTTTTCTCCTTGATGATTAGACACATGCCCATTCCCTGAGTCTGAGCTGGCCCCAAGCCGAATGGGATGTGCTTCCAAAGGCTTCAAAATGTTGAAAAAACTCAGACTGTTGTGTGGCAAAGAAAGGATGTGATGATGAGCCATAAGTAAGCGGTGACATCACCTGTTTTCTCCGCTGTTCACTACTGTAAAAGCATGACTCAGGAAGGACCATTCATTCCAGATGGCCATACATCTGTCTATCCTTCTATCTATAATCACAGCTTGTCTCTCATTATCAGAGACTTATGTGAAACGTGCTTGTAGTCGCTTGTGAACAGGTTCCCCAAGTCTGCGCGCACATCCAGATCGCACAAACAAGGGCAACTGCCAAAACATGAACTCATGTTAGAAGTCATAAATCTCTGCGTGTTTACAACCTAACCTTTAGGAAAGCGAGACATCCCGACGCCGAGGCCGCATGTGACAAATACACACCTACGCATGCAAGTACGCAGAGCGCTTTGGGATAACGCAACAAATTCTACTGCACGCAAACGTGTACTGACTCACACTGGCAAATATGCCCGTGCATTCATGTAGTTCATCAACCCGGCTTTCCTCGCTCACACGCAGACTCTTGATTTGTATTGACGACAGATCTGAAATTCGAGCGATCAACGCAGTGGCCCTCCATCTCCTAAGAGAACCCATCAGCTCTGGAGCTGGACCTCAGAATGGTCCGGTTGGGTCCGAGGAGGATTCTGGACACATATTTCATAACCAGTCAAATACTAGTAGACCAGACGCAAAACAAACCCAAGCTTTGGTCATTCATTTACTGCCTTATTTGTTAAATACTTAATTTCCTTAACTTCTTAAGCCTATTTGTGCACTTTTTTTTGTATTAAATTAATTTCACCGTCTAACCCAACACAGTTGAACCATTTAATTCATGAAAACGTAAGAACTTTTTTTCTCTAAACAAAATAAAGCATTCATGATTCTGGTTGTATACTCACAGAACATGCTGTACACTTGTGTGTCACACTTTTGAGTCACATGTTGACACAGATTTGTATCCAAATTCTGTTGTAGTTGTTTTCTCTGCGCCGCTTAGTTGTGTTCTCGTTACATTCCTCTTCTAATTCTGTTTTTATTAACCAAAACCAAAAATAATTATTTGCTTCTGTTCTATGGGAGTACAGGCCGGCAGGCACAGACAGATCAAATACTGGAATAAACCTTCTTTTTTAATGTTTGTTTATATATTCTTTATTATTTAAAGTGTGTTAAGTGTACAATTATTGCTATATATTGAACTTTTTAGAAGAATAATTCCATAGTGATTCACACTGAAAATGAATATGTTGAGATTTGAATAATCCTAAATACATAATATCAGTTAGTTTCCAACTCTATGTAAAATAACTTCATGTCATCCATCGGGTAGGCTTATATTGTAATAAACTAATTAGATAGATAGATAGATAGATAGATAGATAGATAGATAGATAGATAGATACTTTATTGATCCCCAAGGGGAAATTCAAGATTAATTGTGCAAAACCTCAGGGAAAATTTTTTTATTCAATGTTGATGTACCATACAATCTCAGTGTGAGAAACTAACTTTGAAATTGAACCATTTAGAACTGTTTAAAAAAGTTAGATATAACTAGTCCAGTAAATTTCAGGTCCACGTGATAATATATGGACCTGAAATTCATATACAGAAAAACATATAGATATTCTTGGCATATCAGATACAATTCTGCAGGATTGTGTGTTCTGGTATTCAGTATATCCTGTAAAAGTACATTTTAATGAAGTGGTAATTTAAACTGTCCCACATCTGGATATTCCTTCAACCAAAACAGGTGCCACTAAGAGCCTACAGCTGGGACCCACACTTGTCACTGGCGCCATCCAGTGGCCACAGCTCGAAAGGAAATATTCAGACTTTGGTCATTGTCTGGAAATATTTCAACTTTAAGTGCCTTCCTTTTTCTTCTTCAATTTTTGAACTGCCAATTAACTTAAATTTCCGGGGATCCGGCCTGATCCCACTGTCCAGACATAAAATAGATTTAAATTAAGTTCAGTGGTGCTGCCTCAAAGAGCACAAAAAACTGTAACAAGCCGCTGCTATTGCAGGGAACACCACAGGTTTCCTTTTTCCTGTGGACTTCATTTGTCCACAACAGACCTCAAGCTTCTTTCTACCACCCCTTCCTCCATCACCACAAGATAGTCAAAGACAGACAGCACCCCTACTCCAGACCAGCTCTGGTTGCCTGGCAACGCCCTGCCAAGTGGCCCAGGAGGCGGGAACCCGGCACACAGCTTCCGCAGTAATTACAGTGTGTGTGTGTGTGTGTGTGTGTGTGTGTGTTTCTGGGCCACACCAGGTGTGCGTGCGTGTGTGTGTGGTTGCAATTTGAAGCTGTGAAAGCATGCTGAGATGGAGATTCCATACACAAACGCACACTCCAACAAACAAAGAGAAAAAAAAGAGTATTAAATCTTCACAGGAAGGTATGTTGTTAGAATTAATGTACTTCTTATCTTTTTTTTATTTAAAAAAAAAGGTAAATTAGATGATAAACTGGGGGATAATAAAGGTCACAATGATGGGGACAAGTTTAAGAAATGAATATGCAAGTATCCATCTGAGGAGCTTTAAAACAATGGCACAAATTACTTGGGTTCTCAGTTTTATTGAGTTAAAATGGCTCCACAGTAGCTTTTGACCACATTTTGTCTGAATATTACGGTGATTGAACACATGAACTGCTTCCGTGCAGCCTTTGCTGACTGACTAGAAGTCAAAATATTTCGCTTTTGTGCCAGAGGCACATCCTCAGCTGGCTGCACACTGAGGATGATTTCTGCTCGGTGAAATTGGACTGTGACTCCATTTGGCTTTAGTCACTGGGCTCGCCTGAGTCCACGCAGGCCTATTAAAGTCGAACGCCAACCTCGGTCGAAGACTTCTCTAGTTCAGATTGACGGAGGTTTTCCCACAGAAAGTAAGATTTCTGTTCCAATAACACAAGCAAGAAATGTTAGAAGTACCACAGCTTTGTCAAAAAAAAAATTTGGGAGGATTTTGTTTCTATGATGCAAAGAGTAGATTTACATAGATGCATCCATTAAACAAATGGATGCATCTGATGAAAGGACCATGAATAAATCTTAGCAATTCACATTTTATAAACTGAATTTGTGTGATGTTTGTGATTGATGAATAACTGTGGGAGTAAATCCATTAGCTGGATATTAAGGGATTCATACTTGACAATGAGTTTCATAGACTATGTGCTTTGTGCTACAGTCAATTCTGGAGAGCAATGCAGAACCTTTATAAGTTTTGAAGTTGAACCAAGTTTGACTGGGAGGAGACTGAACACACAGTAAAAAACCTTTTTCAAATAGAAACGACTGGTGTCTTCTTCGAGATGTAAACTCGTATATTGTGTTTAAAACACCAAGCAAATTTAAACTAAATAACACTCAAAGCTAATTCTTCTTTTCAAACTATTACCATGGCCCTGAAACCAGCACACACACACACACTCACACACACCTCCCTTTCCCGTTCGCCCAACCCCCCATGAAAGAGAAGTCGCCGCCCTTCTCCCTCGCTCTCACACCAACATGACTACCAATGCCGCCGCTCAAAGCCGACGGAAGGCCGGGGCATCATGGGAGTTGTAGTTCAATTTGCCCTAGCTCGCTCGAGAAGGCGAGGCCTCGCCAAAATACAACTCCCATCTCGACCCTCGCACGCCGTGCCCCGTCGTCCAATCTGAATATGTGGGAGGAGCGCGTCCGCCCACAAAAGCCACGGCTCTCTCCCCGAATCTCCCCTTTAAACAAAAAAAAAAAAAACCCAATTGTGCACGAAAAAAAAGGGAATATCCTCAAAATACACACATTGGGGACGGTTCGTTTTCGGCGCGCGACGGACGGCGACGAGGTGTCCCCGCGACGTGTGGCGCGTGCGACGGCGGTGACAGGCAGGAGCAGCGAGGAGGGTGTTGTCCTGGTGCTTAAATGGAAGTGGGTGGGCCTGCACGGTCACACACTGACAACTTCTCTCTGGAAATCGCTCTGACACTCGCCAATTTGCTCGTCTGTGGACTGGCTACCCGTTAAAAGAGACACACGACCGGAGTGCCGGCGGCTCCGCGCAGCGGGGACGGCGTCCGTTTCTAACCGTCGTTACCGTTATTTGGGGTTGGGAGGGGGGGGCGGGGGGGACGCGCTTGATTGTGCCTTCGCTTGGCACCGCCCTTCCTGGCCGGTGGGTGGTTTCGTCAAAAACGGGCAGATCCGCCACGGCCCAGAGCCGAACGTATAGGCCGTCCTCCGCCTCCGTGCCCGGCCGGCCTTCTACCGTGAACTACACCCTCTCCCTCTCGGTATATTAATGCGTTATGAGTGGTAGGTACCCTCCCCCTCTCCGTCTCCACCCCTCCGTGCTTCTCTCGATCTGTGTTTTAGATAGGAGGCTCCATGCCCCTTTGATATTGATGATGAGGTTACTGGCTTTTTCTTGTCTTTTATCTTTCACCTTTGTGATGCTATATCTGCGTTTGTGCTGACATTTTATTTTACAGTTCACAGTACCCTCGCAGCAGTAATTGAAAATGCTCATGGGATGATATCAAATGTAGAAAAGAATAGTCTAAAATGAGTGCTCTCATTTCACAGACTCGAAGAAGGAATCATCTGGAACTGAAGGAGGGAAAGCATCTAAAAGGGGAAAAAGTTCTGGATCGCAGGTAAAAGAAGAAAGTTTAATGTAGTTCATTAGTTTCTGTGTTGCCTTGAGGCAGAAAATGTTCTCCCTCCCTCTCAGCCAGGCTGTCAGACACCTCTGGGGGCGTTTCTCTGGTGAATTCCACTTCCTGCTTCTGTGCAGCCCTGCTGAGAGCCAGCCCAGAGCCTCATGAATAGGCTCCAGCCTCTGTACTTTTCAATTGTCTGCTTGAATTATGATCAAAATCGTTCATTTCCGTGTACACGCGTACTCAAAAGGCCGGTTGTGGTTCGTGGCTCGGCAGCTGTAGAACCATTTTTAGCGAGTCGTAGAGGTTTCGTACATGGCCAGAACCAGAAAGTCGTCCTCGTGCCGGTCCTTTGCTGCTGAAAATGTGCGATGAGCACTGGAGCCGTGTCGTTCTCCATACTGCTGCAGTTCAAGGCTGTTTCCCGTGCTGTGTGTAGCATTAAACATTTGCCCGCGACCTAGTTCCACAGAGAGGGAGGAGAAAGAAGGCGGCATTTTCTTCCAGCGTTCTGAGAAAAGAGAAATGTGGTTCTCACACGCCCACCCACTCGCTTCCTGTAATACCGCCCACTTCCACTGACAGCTCTCTGTCTCTTAGCTTTTTGTGTTTCCTCTCTGCTCACCATGTTTTCCCCTCCCCTCGCTCTCTCTCTCATTTTCGTTTCTTCTGTCTCATTTGAAATGTGTCCCCGTTGCTATGCGTAGTTTATTTTTTCATTTAATATTCACAACCGGCTCTCCATCACTGCTCCTCCCTCTCTCGGTCCCCTCCAGGATTCTTCTCAGCCCTCTCCGTTGGCTCTGCTAGCAGCCACCTGCAGTAAGATCGGAGGGCAGGGGGCGGCCGAGGGGGCCCAGGCGGGCGCCCAGCAGATCCAGGTCCAAGCTGGTCAGCTTCAGCTCCAGACAGGTCAGCTCCAGGGTCAGATAGTTGTGGACCCGGCTGGGGGTCAGGCTCTGGTGCCCCAGCAGCTGGAACTGGTCCCGGCTCAGTTCACAGGAAACGGGTGGCAGATCATTACAGCAGCGCCCGCCATGGCCAAGGAGAACACCAGCCAGCCCGTCGCCGTGACGGTGGCCACCACTTTGGCCAACGACAGCTCGCCCGGCGGACGCAAGGTGACGGAGATTTGAGAGCTAGTCGACCGGAGAGCAAGCTTTTTATGGTGTTTCTCTGACCCGTTAACATATACTGTGCCTCTGTGTCGGGCAGGTCAAGGCCGCCAGTAGTACCAACAGTGTTCCAGCCAATCAGCAGCAGCAGTTCCAGATCATCCAGGTCCAGAACCTGCCCAGTGCCGGGGGCGGCGTCCAGTATCAGGTCATCCCTCACCTGCAAACCGCAGACGGGCAGCAGATCCACATCAGCCCCCAGCCGGCCTCCATCGGGGCTCTGCCCGAGCAGGTCCAGCTCATCCAGAGCCCCACCTCAGGCCAGACCCAGGCCATCCTCCAGCCGTCGGGCCAGCAGGCCATCCTACCAAGCACAGCCAATCAGACAGTTCCGCTGCAGATCCGCCCGGCGCAGTCCTTCCCGCTGCAGCTGCAGACCCTGCAGGGCTCCCAGACTCCCGTAATGACCACCGTCCCCATAAACCTGGGCGGCATGACCCTGGCCTTGCCCGTGATCAACAACGTGGGCGGAGGCGGGGCCGTGCAGCTCATCCAATCGGCCGACGGCACGTTCTCCGTC